GCTACCTCAAAAATGCATATTAAGTTTTTTGACTGTACCGCTGTGACAGACATCGCCAGAGCAATAAACCGAACTACTTACAAAATAGTGCTTGAATATGTTAAATCTGTCAGATTGTTATATTAATGAGCTGTTCCGCGAAGTATGCTTTCTTGCTGTGAAGCTGTCCTTCACACAACCGACGAAAGCTTGGAACGTGTTGATCTGGTTTACATGGCGGGCCATAGTCTTCACTTCAAGGCACTCCTCTGCTGTTGTCTTCTAAGGCTAATTCGTAAATTGCTTCCAAACAAATTTTTGGTTAGAAATGAAAATTCGAGTTATACAAATGCCATATCAACCGGAATTGGCTATAAACACTGCGATTTGCTATTGTTTTTACTATAAACTATACTGAAATCATGGAGTTTCACACGACATTACCAATACTGTTTTCCATGCAGTTTTGCCCGAGAAGCTGTCGCTAAGACCGGAACAGTTGTTCCTGCGCTTCATGCAACCGGGCCGCGTTGAGGTGCTAACTCCACAGGGCAAGTCGGGCATTCGAGTCCGCTGGCAACGAATTGGGTCTGTTGACAACAGGACAACAGACAGGCCTGATAAAACAAGGCCAATAGAAGAGTCGAATGTAACGACAGACTTTGACGAGGTCCAGAACAGAACTTTCGGAAGACTTCCTGAGGGCATGAGTCAGGACAAGACGGATCTGATCATTTGGGGCGCTGCTGAAGAGCATTCCGGCGTGTATGAGGCTCTCGTCTATTCGGATGAGGATTACAGCGAAGAAGCCGGTGCCCCAACCACAGAACCAGTGGCGCGTTTACGCATCAAAATCCGAGTCAGTCCAATGTCCGAGGGTGGCGCAATGTGGCTGAAGCCGAGTAAGGCCGGAGAGCTGCCGGACTCTCGCGATGACGAGAGTGTGGATAAGAAGAGAGAGGAACCGGACACAGAAGTGACACCAGACGTCACAGACTCGCCAGACAAGACGAAGCCAATGGCTTGGGACTT